TTTTTTTTTTTTTTTTTTTGCATTTAGCCTACTTGATATTCTCTGAACCTATGGTTTGGTGTCTGACATTAATTTGGGGGAAATTCTCAGTTATTATTGTTTCAAACATTTTTTTCTGTTCCTTTTTCTTCTCCTTCTTGTATTTCCATTATGCATATGTTACATCTTTGGTAGTTGTCCCACCCACAGTCCTTGGATAGTCTCGTTTTTTGTTTTTGCTTTTGTTTTTGTCTTTGTTCACTTTGCTTTTTGGTTTGCAGGGATTCTATTAGTATATCCTCAAGGTTATTAGAGATCCTTTCTTTAGCCGTGTCCAGTCTATCAATGAACCCATCAAAGATATCCTTCATTTCTGTTACAGTGTTTTTGGCATTTCTTTTGATTCTTTCTTAGGATTCTATCTCTCTGCTTACATGGCCGATCTGTTTTTGTGTGCTGTATATAGGATCCAGTGAAGATCTCAACATATTAATCATAGTTGCTTTATTTATTTATTTATTTATTTATTTATTTATTTATTTATAAAGAAAAAGATAGTCCATGGGCACGCAAGTGGGGCAGGACAGAGGGAGGGAGAGAGAGAATCTCAAGCAGGCCCCATGCCCAGCATGGAGCCTGATGAGGGGCTCGAACTCACAACTGTGAGCTCATGACCTGAGCCGAAGTAGTTGGACGCTTAACCAACTGAGCCACCCTGGTGCCCCATAGTTGTTTTAAATTCCCTGTCTAATAATTCCAACATCGCTGACATGTCTGGTTCTAATGCTTGTGCTGTCTCTTTAACTTTATATTTTGCCTTTCTGTATGCCTTGTAATTTCTGGACAGATGTGAGGTACCTGCTAATAGGAACTCCTATAAATAGGCCTTTAGTGATGTGGTGGTGAGGCGTGGGCAGGGGGTGGGGGAGGTGATCCACAGTTCCATAATTTTCTGTCTGGGACACCATGCAGGTGACGAAACAGAGCACCATCAGCACTTTGAAATATCCTGCCAGGCCAACTAATATGCCTAATAGACTCTCCACCATACTTAAGATTTCCCATCCCAATCCCAATCCCTTGGATTCGTGTTAGGGTTTGGGTTATGTTGTCTTTGTCTCAGAGTTGGGGATGCTACCAAATTAGTACAGGGATGGGGGTAAAATTTGGAGATGGGTCGGAATTAGCCTCTGGAAAGCTTCCGAATGACACAACGTGCGTT